TTGTTTCACGTCAGCGATTGAGGAAGCCAAACGGAATGTTAGCACACATCGAAACATGTTTACCTGCGGTCTTGATACGAAGGATAGACTGATTTTCCGGTGCTCTTTGTTCGTCAATAAAGATGACATGGGAAAAAGAGAAACCCGGTATCACTATCAACAATATCACTGTTTGTGACGTTTCAGATTGAGAATGAAAGTTATTCAGTCCATATGTCCGCCCGTGCTGTACACGAGGCAACACCATACTGACCCGCATCTGAAGTCAGAGTTNTAAGGATGCACAAATAGCCACCTATATCTTTGAACCTAGACCCACAGAGAAATGTACTTGCAAAAACCTAAAAGTTAGCAACACCGTTGCCGCGAGCACCGAATAGATCCAAACGAACCACTCTACAACTGAAATGTATCATCAACCCAAAACACTAACACAATCTTATTGTAAGTCGGTTAGAGAAACGTTGTGAGACAGATCTATGACCCACATACCGACAGCAATTCGAACTGATCTCAATATTGGACCGGTCCTTTTCGAATTCCGTGTAGCTAACATGAACTCTGTTCGAGACAGCAGCATTATGCCAATGAATAAATGGAGTATGCGTTAACCGTGGCAATCAACAAAAGTGCACATGCGCACAAGAGCTGCTGGATAGAAATAACTCATCCAGATGGGGAGAAAAAAGTGGCTTCAAAGACCAATTCTGATCCAGCGACAGAAAGTGTGACTTCCACGTATGCAGTTGAACACAACAGGAGTATTTGAATTCGTGTGGTTGAACCACAAAAATCTGGCAAATAATGTCGAGCTTTTCAAGCACTCCCTCTTAGACAAGAGTAGAATGCGAAGCTGCATGTCAACCCACTGACATAGTAAAAAAATATAATTCTGATAAGCGTAACAACGATTGTAGTGGTAACACGATGTAATACAAACAAGAGAACAGGTGATCTGTGAATTCGTTCATTTGCAGTACCCGGTGAAAATACACCGGTAATGAAAGGGTCGAAAAGCAAACAGTTATTTACAATTGAGTGATCAAGGCCCGGTTAGCTGACGATTAAAATGCCCATATATTTGGTACTGGTATGGGAATGAACCACTTCAAAAAAACGAGCAACGGTACACAGAATTCGCGCACGTGTGCAGTGTGAGCGCACAAGCTAACGAATGAATCAACTTCGGGTTTTCGTTCACATCCTTACCGATGATAGATCTTCTCCTCGATTGTGCCACTAGTCAGCAGACGATAGATTAGCACAGACTGTTGCTGCCCGATGCGCCAAGCACGTTCACGTGCCTGTATATCGGTGCTCGGATTCCAATCCGGATCGTAAATGAGCACCCGATTGGCCGCGGTCAAATTCACGCCCAGGCCACCGACACGTGTGGTGAGTAGAAATGCGAACGGACGCGACTCAGACTGATCCGAATCGGGGACAGAAGAATTGAACTGGCGAATCAGTGTCTGGCGAAGATGTACTGGAGTGGATCCGTCCATTCGCAGATAAGATAACCGCAACACGGTAACCAAACGTTCGAGCACCGTTAGCATCTGTAGGTATGCACGGAAAGATCAGAGTGAATTAAGAATTTCTTATCAATCACACCGAATGAGAGAATATTCCATCCGGAATTGATGTGCAGAACTACGATAGATTAAATGTTTAAAACAGTTCGAAACAGTTTAGGCGACAATGATTTTTTTATAACATACATTAGTGTGATGAACGACAGACGAGGAAAGCCCCGTAATCACGAGGACGTGTTGTTCAATAATGGAAACCGACAACCTAAGCCGCGAACCACAACAGCCCTGCCCCTAGGTTAGGTGTGGTATTGAACCGTACGACAGTGAAGCTGCCCACCACCAAGGTTGGGTGGTGGTGATGGTGAGGTGGTGGGTCGAACCTCGGATCACAGAGTCCAAAGTACGCCAGTGACAACGACTAAAACACTGTACCACCACATAAATATGGGGATCTGGTTACAAACGACAACCCGATTGGAGAATTAAACTCGATCGGACACAAAATGGCATTGACAGTCAGGCACTTTAAAACGTCGTGCTCCGGAAGTTAAAATCACATCTATGACCGAACTTTGGTATTCAACAATCCCGTGGTCGCTCACCTCAAGATGGTGATTATCGAAGTGGGTCCTAATGCGGTTTACTAATTCGTGTCCGTTAGAATGGGTAAATTGGGCGACCTCGTTCCTATGTGGATTAGCTGTTTTGTTGTTCAGCAAAAACGGTATACCATGAAGGAAAAACACATTCGTTCATGAACATGTGGCAACCAGCAATTTAAACCAAAACGGGTGTAACTCCCATACTCAATGTACACACAACGAATGATTTTGGGAACCGGGGGGAACTCACACCGCAAGCCATATCGAATGATGCAATAGATCAAGGAAACAAAGCAAGATTACGCGTATAGTGACGTATAGGATGACCAGCTATATATAATGCCACAACCCATTGATGTGAAGCAGTATTCTCATGCGTGTAAGAAACAAATGGCACGCAACGACAACGGAAGCTACACCAATTCTTCAGTGATAGGAATGTGATGCAAATAACTAACGGAAATTTTAGTGCTGCTTTGTGTATGTACACATTATACTAAACGACATAAATCCGGGTACGTTTTACAAAAAAGGTGAATCTATTACCCTTAGAGTGCATTATTTATATTCACAAGCAATATCTTTCTCAGAAAAAAAAAATCAAAGATCGTTCCAAGTTAAAAATGTGCACAAAGTATGAATATTATCACTATTCGATTAGCCAATCCTCCGTCTGATACGGGAGACTTCGGGAGCAAGGTTTGTCAATCAGGTAAATATCTTTACTATTCGCAGCTGGTCTTCACCAGTCATGAGAAAACTCCTTAGGGGGAAATCGGCACCAGATTTGGGGACTGGTCATTGCCATAATGCCTCAGCAGCATGTGAGGCATTTAAAATGTTATGGATGCATTAAATCATTCTGTATTGCAGATACCACATACTGTGTATGGTCACATTTGTGCTCAATGTGTTCAACTATTCGGAGTACATAGCATCTGTGATAGGAACATTTGTGCAACGGTCAACGAACATTTGTTTCATCCTAGCGGGGAAAAACCATATAACGGAGGAGTTAGCATGGGCCAAAAGGAGAACCCGTTAAATCAACTGTTGTAAACAAATACGCCAATAAGCTGATCATCGACCGTGTAGCTCGGAGGTTTCAGGGATTTTATTTCTAAGCCCGAAGGTGCACAGTTCACGTGACTGGACGGAGTTCGGAGTTCGCACTGACGGGATATGAAAACGAGGAGAACACTGCTGTTTATCGGCCATCACACCACGATTGCGTAGCACACAATTGTTATATTTCAAATTCATACTTTTAGAATGGGTAAATTACAAAGCTGATGCTTATTGAATCCCACAGGATCTGTACTCACATGGCGTTCGATTGGTTGTACAACTAAATGGCAAATTATAATAGCCAATCACCGATGTTGAAAAGTTAGGTGTAGTTCGATGTTTCATCAAGCCGTGACTTGAATGAATCGACGGTCGGACCATAAACTTGGAAGAAGATAGTAGTAGTAGCAGCAGCAGTGGTAGTGGTAGTTTCGGGTATTACAAACTCTGAGGCTGAAAGAATAACGCCTGCATTCTAGCCGATGTCTTGGGAGGTGACCATTCCTGGATAGTGTTAGTAGAGTACTACAATGGTGGTTAGGTTGATGTAGTATTTCATAAACGAGGATAATATCTCCCCGCATTCGACGGTATTCAGACGAATAGAGTCCGAAAATTGGAAGCCTTTCAAAATCGTTTCCGATTGCGGTCACTATCCGCGGTATAAGCACACGCCGTCATTGATTAAACAACCAGTGAATATCACACATAACGAATGCAGCTTATAAATTCCATCCAATCTTGGTGACACGACAACTCAGCCAAATGGGGATGCCGAAGTTCTTCCATATGAATCCCGATATTCGTGACATTCAAGGAACTAAGAGAGATGATCACCAAAACCAACACGGATAAAAGCGGACAAAATGAGTCGCACATTGCCGCACATATCCATAAATCGAATCGGCTTACCCGTCGACTCTGAGAGAACACCAGAGCCCGATGTCCCTGCGCGTTCCATGTTTTTAACAGGGAAGCTACCACGAGCATTTTACTCGATCGAAGCGGACAGCCAAATCGCGACCACGGATATCGCGTGAGAAATTCATCGTTGCATTCGTTTCCCCGTTCGGCTTCGCGTGCTCGACAAGTGGCTTCATCGCCCAGCATATCTTTTGTGCCACCGGTTACCAGATCCGGATGATTGCACAACTTTCGAAGCAAAATCAAGGCAGTGAACACCTAAACAGGAAAGGAGAGGCAAGACCATTTCAATGGAAAGATACGACTGGAACAGAACAGTGCAACATTGAGAATGTGGTCCTTAAAAGCTCAACTGGATATTGGGGACGGAATGACTGATTAGGTAGTCGACCATAAGAAGCAAACCATTGGAGGAAACAAGCCCGAAGCCTTTCCGATGTGGATGAAACCGATGGGGGATGAGCACTGAGCACAAATCTCCAGGGGAGAAGAGCGGGTTTTGAAGAGTCTAATCAGAGTACAAATGGGACCATCGTTGGGCACGGTCACGATGGGAAGGTCCAGTTACTAAAGCTACGGCGTTGACTGCACGGTCTATGCGTGACTAATTATAGGACGATACAAATTAAAGTCATACACTTCCATGCTCCTATCTCTTTTGTCCCGTACGCCAATTCCACAGTCAAAATGAGAGATGTCACTACCGTCCCGGAGATGCGAGTATTGCGTGATTTAACCTTGTTTCAGTGCCGTACCTTCTTGCATCGATGTTAACCTATTCCTCATGTCAACATTTCGTCAACTCTCAACTCGAAAGTTTGGTAGTTAGTGCAAAAACGATGTGGGATAAGAGAGCGTTCCCAATGGTCCAGATCGATGGGAAAAGAATGTTGGTAACCGTGAATGTATTTTGGACCACCAATTGCAATAGTAGTGAGCAACAATGATATTTTGGATTCTGCGATATATGATAAAGCAAAATCGAGTCTCCTGTGAATCGGAGGTACTGAGTGGAGTACAAACCAGACTGTAACCTTCCCACATCGGTGTGGGGGATGCAACTGATCGATTAGATGTTTCAGTATCTTACGGTCACATTGAAGTTATGCGTTCCAGGGCTGGATGGTACACTTTGTGTGTGGTCGAAAGTAGGTTGATAGCAAGCATTGGAAGTGAGCTGTTTTAAGCCAACCATCAATAAGAGCTGCCTCCTGCTCCTCCTCCTCCTCCTCTTCCGTTACCAAGATCAAGTGATTCACCAGTTTAGGAATTTTCCACCTGTTTCCGTTGAGCAGGCAAAAACGCTTTATCCTGATTGTGCTATGCAATATTTCCAGTACTTTCTGAACTAGCTCAATCAATGATAACACAAAATGAGCCAACGCGTTTCTTTTCTTACGAGGTAGACAATCATGTCTGAGACTTCCCTAGTGTATGGTTGGTCTGATGAAGTCAAGATCGTTAGGGTAGCAGAATGATCAGTCACAATGCAGTACCGATATAAAACAATGAAATTGGAAAAAAAACCCAGATGTTTTCGAGAATCAAAATGGAATGCTAATACCCCCTTGCAGTGTTTGGGGGAGGGGAACTCGTAAATAGTATACCGCTCTGCCCCACCCTGCCGCACATGGTTGTATTTATGAATGAGGAACTGGAAATATCGAGAACCTTAAGGAAAGATTATGCTTATCAGGGTTGAACGAAAAAGGGGACTCACATTGCCTTTACCGTTAAGCAGGTCTTTGCAAACTTGTGAATCCGTGAATTCTTGGTACAGTTGTCGTTGGTAGTCTGTCAGTCGACAGAAGAGAACCTGAAATGTGACGCGTGATCATCTATCAGAAGTGAGAATGGACTTGAACGAAACAAAAAAAATATCCATTAGGGAGAAGAGGAGTGAGGACTGGCTTAACCGGCGTGAATCACCTTCAACAATGATAGCATATAGAAAAAACAGCTCTGGCCAATGGTAGGTACCTCATTGATACTGTGAACAAAGTTGCGAATAATTGGATGAAACGGAATACGAGAAAAGCACATGAATTAGGCTATCTTGGTATTGTAATACATCGAAACAGGAGACACTTGCCTGTTCGGATTTGTTTGGAAGTTGCAGTCGTACTTCAGCCTTCAAACGTCGAATGAGGAATGGCATCAAAATATCCCTTAAGGTACACGCACAGCGATATGCGGTCTCTACCTGTTCAAGGGGTGGGGCGGGGGGTTTCACAAGGACGGCTTTTACTGTGTGAAGTATGCGGGACAGACCAATTAGGTTGTTTTAGATACCACAAAAAAAGCAGAAAGTATTGGTAACACCAGTTCAAATAGCCCGGAAGGCTTTGCAGCATGATGTTAATTGACTAATCGCTACAGAATTTACCACATATAATAGCTCCCGTGTAACACTGCATTCGTGGAAGAAATACACTCTTGAACACAATGCTGAAAACACATTTTGGGGATTAAAAAAGCAACTGTTAGACTTGACTGGAGCTGTGTGTCTCGGATCGTACAATGTGGCATATTCTTCTACGTCCGCCACAAAACACTGAAGGTAACTGGACAACCAATTCAACGGCCAAAGTGCATTGGACTTTGGCTGAGCTAAGGCAATGAAATTGGATATCACGATTGGTGTAAACAGCCATTCCAGTAAACTGCAAGCAATAGAACGGTCCTACTGAGGAGTTTTGGAAATAGTATCTTATCCTGTTTGTAGAAAACCGTTATAAATCAAGACTCACCGAGCCTATGACTGCTGAAACTCTAACTGCACACATTGCCTCTCATCTATACCGACTGAGTGTACAGCGGTTAGTCTAACATGAACAATACACTAGACAACTCATTCACCCCTGTCTGTCAAAGTTCATTACTGCTATCCACTATTTGCCCCGCGTGCAAAGCGCATCACGATACTTTCTCGAAACAAAGCCCCCGAAATCCTCAGTTTGGTCAGGGGTGGGTGTTTAGAGTTGCGGCTGGTCATCCTTCCCTTGCACCTCGCGAAATGCTCCCATACGCGGGCAAGTGTCTCGAATAGCCTCGACTGAAGAAGCTTTACTCATTGCCTTCTCATGGTGTAGGTTTTTCCCACCGTAGTGAGAGGACGAAGAGCCGATATCCGGGGGGCTATAACCGGGTTGGTGGTGATTGGTAGTTCACCCAGGGGAGTTGGCCAAAAACCCGGATTCCAAATCAACCAAGAGGAGGTTTACGAACCACACACACAAACCTTCCCGGTTGTGACAGTGGTCATCGGCTAGATTGGGCATTGAGGTGTATTGGGCACCTTGGACGTTTGACCCCGTCCAAAGGGCGAATGATTCGATGAACTGGACACCGCCCACCCCCACCCCTAATAGCTTGCGATTTTCACACACCGCCGCGCTACCTTGTGGGTCAGGCTTTGGCTGGCTGTGGATTGCTCAAGGAAATTCACCTGCCTTGGCCTGGGCAACCTGGCAGTATTCAGCCCACATGGAAATCATGCAGTTTTTCTTTTTCTATAATGATTATTGTACCATGGTTTGTTTGGCACACAGTCTGGTCTCAAACGAGTGTAAAATATAATATTATAATAATATCGAAAAAAATCCCGCTATTAAAACTAGTCGACGAAATTAAGAATGAGTGCTATTTACTGAATCCCAATTGGGTTCGGAGACAATGAATCAAAAACTACCTGGAGAGGTGAGGAAGATGCGTAACCGCCTTGTGTGATTGGGACGGCAAACTGTTGCATAAATTCCGGCAATGGACCCAAACGGCCGGGACAGACAAAATCGAACAGGGACCACAATTCACGCAAATTGTTTTGCATTGGGCTGCCGGACAGAATAATTCGATGCACGGTCTGAAACTGAATAAAAGATGATGAGAGAAAAACGTGTTTCGGTTGAGGGAATCTCACGAAAGGTCAGAAATCCGTAGCACAGTGAAATAAACCAACAGAATGATTTTAACTGACAACACGTGAAAAACGTCACAGGCTGAAATGGACCGGTATCAGTTGATTTCAATCATGAATGAGACACTTGTGATTGCTTCCTTCATACCCGAAATATGACCAAAACCATCGGAAATACAACTTTAGTCGAGCACACAATATTGCTGATAAAAATTGAATGAAAAAACAAAATGGAAATGGAAAAATGGAATAAAAATGGAACATCGGTTTCGTAGTCTAATACGTCGGAAGTCATACGGACAGCTCCGAATAGCATATCAAGTAGTGCTTGTCCTAAGAGCCGCAGGAACTTTTTCGCCCGAGTGTACTACAGAAAATGATGTTCGTCAGGATCGCTTTCTCAATCAATTTCTATTTGAATTTCGTATAGGTTGGATTCGGGAAACTGTCTGATCTGGAGTATGCAGATGACCTTGTACTATTCAGTGAAGATCGAGGTAAGTTACAGGCTTTTCTGGTTAATGCATCTATGTTCGGCATGCGTTCCACCCCTTCAAAAGTAAAACGTTGCTACAGGACAGGGTTGATCCAGTTCACGATCTCGCTCACTGGAGAACAAATGCGGGTTTTCAGTTTCTATGACTGTCATACATGCACTTTCGTGTGCCGGTTTTGGTTGCTTTCTTTTGGCTGCCTATTTAGATGAAACACCACGAGAAAGACAGGAAATTTGAAAGTTCAAGTTGAAGAGATGGTGAATTTCAGTAGATTAAGGTTGCAAAGAAGTTGAGGACATACACAAACGCCTCTGTTTACGACACTCAGCCATATCAATCAGTCTCTAGCCACCAGTTACCACGATCTCGAGGCCCCCATCCAAGGAGCTAACGGGACCTATGTGAGCGAGTCCCCTGGTCAGGGTTTTCATGCTGAGACTTAGTTTGACCACCTTTGGCTCGGCAAACGTCGTGCACCGTGGCAACCTACTTCTTGGAAATGCACAACACATGCCCCAATCAACGTAATCTATGTAGGTGCACTACTTGCTCTAGTGGACGACCGGGATTACCTCGGGATGATCGCAACCGATGGTTAGAGATACCGAGTAATATGGCTGGGTGTCGTAAACAGTGGCGTTCGTGCATCTCCCCAATTTCTTTGCAACCTTAGACCACTGAATTTCTCCATTTTCTGTTCGACTCCACTTTCAACTTTCCTTTCTTCTCCTACTCTTCATCCAAATGGGCAGCCAAAAGACAGCAATCAAAACCGGCGCACGAATATGCGTGGTTAGTGGTTGTACAAACTGAAACCTAAAACTCTGCGTCTAACTTGAGCATTGCTCGTCCGGTTACCCCACTAGACTGATGCGACACGACGTAGACAGCGATGTTCGAACACCGACAATCCCGACCAAGTCTCTGCACCGTAGAGCAGAACCGGCTGAACTACTGTGGCATCCACTCAACCCTTCACAGAGAGCCGGGTGTCGCGAAGGCGCCACAGATGTCTGAAGATGGCAAATACCAACCGAGCTTTTTGTATTCGAGCTGACACATCATCCGTGATGATCCAATGGGTGAGATATAGCTCTCCAGATAGCAAAACTTATCTATTTCATCTGCTAATTGCCCAGTCAGGGTGAGGTTGAGGGCTGGACCAACCCAGTCTTGTAGTAACATTTTACAATGAAGGTGCAAAATGCATACGCTCACATTCAAACTACCAAGGGGAGCTTGTAACTTACCTGGATCTTCATTTATCAGTGCAATGTCGTCTGCATACTCCAGATCAAACGGTCTACCACCCGGAAGCAACTGGATACCAAAATCCTCATCAGACGTAGTGAAAAGATTTTTCTATCTGGGCATCTACATCTCACCCGGTGGACGCATCACAGATGAAGTGTCAGCTTGCATGCACAAGGCTCGATTGGCATTTGCCAACTTCAGACATATGTGGCGAAGACGCGACATCTGGCTGTCTGTGAAGGGACATTCGGTACAGCACTAATACCGATCTTGATCGTTTTCGGCACATTGAATTAAGTCAATTTTATTGTAATGAGGCATGTAAACCAACAGAACAACACATTGTGCAAAGCTGTGGAAACTTCAATTACTTCACAAATGGTGTGGTGGGGGATATCAGTTACGGAACGAGAAATGGATCACTCAAGCGTGACTCTAAGTTGTTTGAGTCAACCGCGTTCTTGAACCCACCACAGACACGTATTTTCGTCCCTAGATGAAGCAGCATGGCGCATCAAATTCCAAAGTCCATGCACAGCTGAAATATATGCAACAAGATAACGCGTCAGTTTTAATTAATTTTGAACTGCATCACACCACACACTGGGCCACGTACTCGTTTCACGGCCAGTGTGATCTCGGCTTCCGGATTTTTGATCTTGTGACCTTCGTCCAAAATGACATAGGACCAGGCGTGTTGCGTGAGCATGTCCTGATAAACGACCAATGTATTGTAAGTGGTCAACAAGACACAACCGCTTTGCGAGGCCATTGTCCGAATGAGGCTCGCCTGAGACAATAGACCGGGGATGATAATAATTGAAGGGGGGGGGAGAGAGAGAGCGAAAGTGTACGCGAGTACGTGGAGGTAAAAAAAAATAGCACGATTTAAAAACGTTTCCGAAATGATTTCACTGTGTCGTAAGACTCCGACAGGTAAAATGATGAAATAAGAACAATATTGGTAATTTCATTCATTTCTTTCTATCGAATTTTCTCAGATGTACAGATAATCTTCAGGAGGTGATATGCGATCGATTAAAGGATATTTAAAGGGCAAATGAACTCATGGATGAGAACTTTCATCAAAAACATTAAACGCAACCTATTGCCATGTACGCCCGAGTTCTAGGATTCTACCAGGACGTGTTCCGAAGTTTGGGGTGTGGTCCAGTGCTTAAGTGAATTCCTCGTTGAATCACGATTGCGAGTAGAAATATAGCACTGATGAAGGCTAAAGTTACAGGGACAATGGGTAGATGTGCAAGCATCAATGTTAACAACACTCAGTCATGTCAGTATCACCAACTATTGACTACGCTGATCCCATCCTGGGAAACTAACACGACCCAAGTCAGCAAGCCTCCTGCCAAGGGTTGAAATACTCTAATATCAGGTCTGGGTTTGTCCATCCTTCCCCTGCCTCGTCATGTAGATCTTTAAACGAGATGTTATTTGGCTTGAACAAATCTGTTCGGCTTCAACTTCATGGTGTTCTTCGCATTCTGCGACTCTCAATCTGATCAAACGAATTGTACATGCTTGTATTTCACTTTGCTTATTCTATGCTTTTTGATCTAGTGGTAAGACAACTAAAAAGTAATTTGTAGATCCTATAAATTGACATTTTTATGAAATGATTTACTTCGTAATTCACTTACCAATATTTCCAGTAATGTAAAAAATTTTGAACAAAATTGCTAGCTGCCCTCCATAAATCCTCTCCACGCATTGATTTACGTAGATTAGATATTCGTGTCAAACACCCGTCTCGAATCGAAACAACTAGTTGCACGAAATTCTACATACATATCTCACTTTTCCGGGCTCCCCTGTAACTCCGAAGGAATTTTCTAATGAACTAGAAAACGCAGCTGAATCAAGTGTTGTTAACCTTCGCGCTTGTTCTTAGTTTATTGTTTTACTTAGTCACTTACGCGGCTCGTTCTGCGGAATGAAACAAACCAAACATTAGACTAAACCGATAATCGCTCAGCCAATGCCGCACAGAAACATGTTCAGATTGCTTCCTCATGATTATGACGATGAAATCAAAGTGGAATTCATTTGAGAGGACAAGAGATTACCCACATACGATGCAAGACTGCTAATTCAAATTCAAAGTACCGATCCCAATTGATGATATCAGATGCGGTTGCAAGAAAAACACTAAAAAGTAAAACAGTCCCCGTGCTTCACTCCCATCTGATTCCAGACTGTGGGCCGAGCAATTCGCGGACGGAGTAATACCGGGTTGCCCAAGCCTTTATCGTTAGCAACAGAAGAATTTCCATTCCTTGTGAAAGTATTTTAATGGATCCATTGTACCCTCTATCCCATCATAACAAAACAACCTCTTCCTCTTACTGAAGTGATTTTAATAAGTCGCGTATTCGAACATTCCACACATTTTTCACGCATATAAGCATTAAAGAACTGGTGCGTTTTGTGCACTACTTACCGGCTTTTGATATCCGGAACCACTGGAGTGCAAAATCCCGACCCGTATAGCGGGATACCAGCTGTGGAATTCGTTCAACCACTGTTGCAAAACAGTGGCCGGACAGACTAACAGTACCGAACCCATCGAAAGTGTACTAACAAGTGAAAAATGAAACTTGATCATGATAATCCTCAAGAATACTGTTCAATATCTTACTTATATTACAGTTTTAAAAACAAATCGAAAAAGAGACTATCAGTAAGAACATGATGAAACTTGACATGCCGACCTCAGAACGAAAAACTTCGCAATAATTTTCTACTACTTACAAGTAACAGAAACCGTTTTTAGAATATAGTGCACGATATCGTTTATCAAACTGCATCAAACATTATATTTTTGCAGTTTAACACCTCAGAGTTGTGACAATTCGTGATTTAAGTTTGACTGCATTCGCGATGTGAGCCAGCATAGCGAAATCTATGACACAAATTGAAAACTCAGATGAAGTGAAAGACAGTGAATATCAAAGATTGCGCACTAAGAAGTAGAACAGTGGCACGTTTAAAAACAGGATTACGAGATGAACATCTAACCACAGAAACGGTGTCACTGTGATTGCAAGCCTAACCTATTCCCCATTTTTATGATTCTCTGAGGATCTACATGACATGCCATCTATCAACATCCATCACGTAGACGCACCGCTTGCTCTTGATCGAATTAAATTCGTTCTGACGGGGGAACATTACCTGCACCACTTTAGTTTACATGGTGAGAAACCCATATCCTAAATAATGCGCAGTTTTCCGTTCTTCATCTCGAAAAAGACCGTTTTAGCACTCTTTTGATCGGACTGTTTAGAATAGTTACTACTGCGATGAGTGGCCTAAGGAAGGTGCCGTTGATCTACAAATTTTCCCAGCGGTGATGTGATTAAAGCGACAGACCCAGCTAGATTTTGATTTATGCACTGTTTGTGAGTGTTTGGTCTATGTTAGAGAGGCTGGTCCTCGGAGAATTCAAAGCCATGTCGGTTCATTCGCTGATTACTGCACGGATGTGACTGATAGATCTATGCATGTTCGGTCGATTTGGACAAGGCAGCCACATGAGTCAATCACATGTGTGACCCAGTAGAAGAGGTTGCCGTTTGTTCAACAGTTAGCCCGCCCGTCTCCCGAAGGTCGTTTAGTACGGGAACTGCGATAGGTGCGTGGAACAGAACACCTATGAATTCCAAGAATATGTCGAGAATCCTCTTGATTTGCAGTTACCATAGGAAGCACTGCAGGAAAAGGGTAGCATTACCCTTTTTGCTTACACCCTTATCAGCGTATTCTTGATTCGACAATTGAAATAACTCTGGGAGACCTTCCGTTGGTTCTCCACTATATACATATATATATATATATATATATATATATATATGAACTGACAAAATATTACTATGATACTATGATTTAGTGTTTATAGGTGAGTTAGATGTTACTAATTGCAACAAACGTGAGTTAGGCATCTTTATTGGATATTTTACAATAAGTAGCATATGAATGACCCGAAGCGTAGTATTGATTCATGAATGGACTGGTTCTCAATCCACATCCGGCTTTCCGACATTGAAAATAGCTGCCTGATGCGTTAAAACAAGACCTGTCCAGAGTAACAACAAATTGTATCACCTTTCGGCATAACTATCTACAGCAGAAACTGCGAATGTGCGATGGAATTGATCCCTTCAAGTATATGCTCCCCCTCCTGAAGTGACAACTCTTCGTTTAGTGAGCTAATTAAACGTTCCTGTAGGCATATCTTATTACAAATCGAACGCCGGAATCGCAAGTGAATTGCTGCACACAAGGCTCCAAAACACGAGGCTCGAGACCAACTACATGCATAATGTAAACGCACACCTATTGCACAACAAGAATCAGTCAAATAAAGCGAATCAAAGTGGTTTTAAATTATGGGAAACTTGGATGGAAAACCACGACTGAACTCACTTTGATAATAATTCCAGTTGATTCTGTGATGCAAGCTGTTCGGAATGATGGATGGCAGCCAAAAAAGCAATGACCTATGACAGGGATGAAACCCGGGCGGGGGATGGAACGGGTGGAATCACATGTATGAACATACTCAGCGCATCAAGTCTAGCAAATTTGGTCATTTGATGCCGGTTTCAGTAATAACGAAATGTCATGCACCCGAGTGGGTGAAAATTTAACATGCAACAACTAAAGCGTGACAAACCGGATAAGGGAAAAAACATACAGACATAAAGATCAGCTGTTCACTCATGGGAACCGGTGTCTCCGACTGAATAGCATCACAGGAGCTAGCATAGGCGTGGTATTGAGCAGGGTGACTCAGAAGTTGACTAACGCCAACTATCGCATCATCACAGTATATGAATAGATAAGAACAATCGAAAAAGAGACACGATATGATAGTTGAAAGAACAGAATTGGCGGTTCATTCCGCAAACGATTTCACAAGTCACACATAATTCTGTCTGGATTAAAAAAATAGATGTGAGGAAATTAGCTTGTCCTAGCCATGTNTTCCATGGATCCATGGATCTCGTGTTATTAACATAGATGTGATAGTTGGTTATGCGTGAACGGAAAATCAAAAGCTTTTGTCGCGTGAAACATGTGCACAATACCTCCTCATTGAGAACATTATGCAAAAGGTGACAATCAATCTGGAGTATTATTAAAGGCAACCGTTGGCAGATATTTAAATGTATACTAACCAAAGAAGTTTGTCTGTTCACATTTAGGCATACCACGAGATGAGGAAGTATGTGCCAAGGACCTGGCAAGCAATTCATAGAGCATTTTAACGCGGGCAGGGAGTAGAACAGCAAGCGTTATGACACCTTGAGGTAGACTTGACGACATACAAAGTAATCGCATCATGAAAAATAAAGAACAAGTACAAAAAGGAAGCGGGTGCTGAAAAATAAGTGAGATGTGATTCACCTGAATGGTTTTTCCCAGTCCCATTTCATCCCCGAGGATGCCGCCACTGGGGTTCTGATGTAGCTTCCAGAGCCACTGAACCCCAGTGCGTTGATAGTCAAAAAGACGTGACCAAATACGACCGGGAACACGAAGATTGCCGCCCAAATCACCATCGACTGGAGCAGAAGTTGCAGGCTGTAGACGGAAACAAAGTATATAATGACAGTTCAGTTTTTACAACCATTAACCGTGCATTTTCGTGCGATGGTTTTGGTTGCCCATTTGGATAAAAGAGCGAAATGTAGATTGGAATGTCGAAGCAAATTCAAGCGGAAGATGGGGAATTCATAGAGAGTGGTGTTAGGAAAATAACGAGTGGATGCACGACCGCCACTGTTTGCGACACCTAGCCATATCACTCAGTGTAGCTAACCCTCGGTGAGCATCATCCCGAACGAGATATTGATGCCGAAAATACAATCCCTGGGTAAAAGTGTAGAATGAACTGACAAAAGGTTACCGGATACACATGCCTGACGACCGGTAACAACTGCAGAACCGGTCGTGTTCTTCTCAGAAAATTTCGTCTAGTCATTCACATACTATTTACTGTAAAATACTTGCATATAACATGAGTCGATGTTGGTTTCGAGAATGAACTACCAAAACCTTACATTTGACCTATCAACCCCCACCTCGACTGGGCAAATACTTGCAGTTTATACCAGTCCTCTATCTGAAATGGTTACCCGGGAATTAAGTTACCTCAAAAGGAGTAAGGCCTCTGGCCAGGATGGGTTGATCCCGACGAATTTTAAGGATGGAGGTGCAGCCTTGGTTTTGGAGTTGACCAAACTCCAAGGCTCAATGTGGGAGAGGGAGCAAGTTCCAACTGAATAGTGTAAATCGGTGATCATACCGATTTACAAGAAAACCACACAGAAATTAGTTTAATCAACATTGTTTCCAAACTTCTCGCAAGCATCACACCTTGTCGCAAGTGAAGAGTGCACGCGTGAGAACCAGGCTGCTTTCGGACCTGGTCGAGGTTGGATAGACCATATTTTCACCCTTCGCCAAATTCTAGAGCACCGACATTCTTTTCGTAGACTCACCATGTCTGTATTTCTCGATCTATAAGCGGCCCTCAACTCACTCGACCAATTAAAAACTGGCGCTGCCATTCCCTGATGGGCGTGCCCAAGAAGTTGATTTCAATATTACGATTCATTTGTACTGATAGCTGAGGTCCAGTTACGGCACTTTTCTGCCCCAGTTTGCTGCGGAAAGTGGCGGTCGCCAGGGTCTCCCTCTCCCTCCGTTTCTATGTAACTTTGGCATAGACTTGATTCTTGGAACAGCCCTATCTTCGTGCGACGATAGTGGTATTGATTCACTCCCATATGGCAAACTGTCTGATTTTGATTATGCAGACGACATTGTGCTATGCAGTGAAGTTGCAAGTCTTTCTGGATAGTTTGAGTGCGAGTGCAGACATGTTCGGTATGCATTTTGCACCTTCAAAGTGTAAAAGGTTGCTATAAGATTGGGCTGGTCTAGCCCCCAACCTCACCCTTACTGGAGACGTAATCGACAAAGTAGATCAGTTCCGCTATCTGGACAGCTATATTTCACCTGGCGGACGTGTCACAGATGAGGTGTCGGCAAGCACACACAAGGCTCTATTGGAATTCACCAACTACCTGTGAAGGGTCGAGTGTACGTCGCAGCAGTTCAGCCAGTTCCGCTATACTCCTCAGAAACGTGGTCATTACGAAAAACTNACTGGATAAAGATAGACTGATGGTGTTTGAACACCGTCATCTACGCAGCATTGCACGAGTCTGGTGGGGGAACCGGATACGCAAGTTTAGGCGCGGAGTTTTAAATAACCGCGGTCGTCCACTGGAGCAAGTCATTGACCTCCATAGATAACGTTGGCTGGGGCATGCGTTACGCATGTCATCAAATAGGTTGCCACAGCGCGTGACTTTTGCGGAGGCAGGTAGTGGTCAAACCAAACCTCGGAATGAAGGTATGAAAGCCCTAACGAGGAGACTCGGTCAAATAGATTGGGTTATTCGTCCGGGATGGGATTATGTTATCAGTGGTTACAGACATTGATTGATATGACTGTTGTAAACAGTGAAGCCTTGTCTCAATTTCTTAGTCTACTGGGATTCTCAGTTTTCTCGCCGATGGCACTTTTAACTTTCAATTCGTTCCTGTAACCCTTCATCCAAATGGGCAGCCATGAGACAACCCCCAAAACCAGCTCGCGAAAGTGCATGGTTAACGGTTGAACAAATTTAAAACTGAAAGGATACACCTCATGCCTTGTGATTGGAGCACAGCCCCCACACTGTAGAATGCACCACAAACAGAACCCGATAAATGGGATGGTGCCGTGAAGAGTTGGGCAGTTGGAAGAGAACACAGTAAACTGTGGAATACCAAAAGGGGGACCAACCTCACCACGCTCCCGAGCCAATTCGCGTTCCAACGCGTCCAACTGATTGTGACGACGTAGACGCGTTTGGAAATTAGTCAAACTAGCATCATCCAAGTGTTGCTTCTCCGCTTTGCGTAACTTCTTTATTTTCTCTTGTATATCCTCCGAACAGATTTTTGAGGTTCTTATTAATGGACCAGCTGTTTGAACCGGAACCGGTTTGATGGTTTCTATATTACTGTTACTGGTTGATGGCTGATGACAAAGTTGGTCTACAAAGTAAAGATAAAATAATCAGTATTCTTTCATTTACCTTCATGGAATATATATATATATATATTGAACATAGAAGCGACTTTATGAAAAACAAATAAAATTAACCAGAATTTGATAAAGAAAACGAGGACTTGCCCATGAGGAACAACGCTGAGTTGAAACACAGACACACAGAACCGAGATGCACCGGTGGCTTATCATGTTTTAAAACCACCGCCCAAGAGACGATCAATCAACAAGTTAGCCGTGGAATCGCATTGCTCGTAAACAAACTGGTTATCTGTTCCGAAATTCCACGACAGGAGGTACCCAGAAACGGACCAATTGAGTTCCAAAACTGAGCAGTCCCATGAACCTTTAACTCAGCCCTATAACTCACTCTCTTTTAGCGGGGAAAAGATCTCTATGCGGCCATAACATAACCTGGCTGGCATCAGGAGAAAAAGCAAACCAGAATGGACAGTGCTGCAATATTGAAAACGGTCTTTCGTCACGACGAGACTGCACCTTGACGTGGTGAGATGGCTTGTGCACCTCTCTGACTCAACGGGCTACACAGGATGGCTTTTTTCAAGCCCAAGATCTAATCATGCCTGGAAGGTCGAAGAGTAGAGGACAGACGAATTCCAGTCTCCTGGTCCTCCGGGATGGAGGTTCGATTGGAATTTGCGTTTCAGTCGGTAAAAAATAGTGGAGTAATTGATCCAAGTAAATGGACCTCCATTTCGCTTCACTCGCTGCCTTGCGGTTAGCTTCTTTCAGAACTAAATGCTTTGGTTGAGAACCCTAATCGTTCTCTTGCTTAGCGACTGGACACCTTAGCAGTACCTGTCGATCAAACCCCAATGCATAGGCATTGCGAGTTTGGCAGCGACCAGTGAAGCTCGCTTCTCTGTATTTCGCTGTACGATGATGATGGTCTTTCTGTGAGCTGAATAGGAGATCGGAATGCCACACACTGATACAACACGCAAGCAATCTGATAAATATTAAACTTACCACTGGTAATCATCGGTGAATCTTCAAGCACTACGTCTCTGTTTGACTTTTCTTTCAGCAATAGTTCCAACTTCTTCTGTAGTGAAGCTTTGCGTGAATTGAGAGTATCAATGTTTTTCATCTAAACACGCGATCAAGTACGATAAAGCGACAAACAGTTCACAATACTTTCAACTCCATTTCAAGCTCGAGACTGCGAATTTTTCGGGATCCTGTTATTTCCCCGGAATTGGCTACTGCCTCTGACAGGAGCGTGTCTAAGGCCACTTCGAGTTTTTCGAGATGATTCTGTGCAAATCTAACTTCAGAAATGAAATGATATGATGAAACTGACTTCAAGTCTTCGTCTACATCACGAAGACGTTCCCTGGTGCTGCGAATTTCATTTTGAGTATGCTTATCATAGGCTTTGGTAACTTGTTCAAGGACTCCTATTTGAATCGTCAGTGAAAAAAAACATTAGAGATTACCAGCTTCGAACTCAGACTGTTCATATGCAACTACATTATCCAGGTTGTCAGTTTCTCCGGCGGATGTGGTTTGGATCAGAGTCCTGTCTATCCGAACTCGCGTTTCATTGCTTTTTATCGGATTGTCACATTTACTCTCATTCTCATCAGAAGCCATGAGAACAAGCTGAAATTTCGAAGAAAAAAAATGATTAGCCAGTGGGGCAGAATCATAAGAGAAGGTAACCCTCATAGATATTACGAACGCTCATTCTATTGTTCACTTTTCTCTACCAGAAAAACAATTCATATTAGCGAACAGATCACAACAATCTGACATTTTGAGTTGCTTTTTTCGAATGTAGCCATGTTAAACAAAAGAAACAAATGGAGATCGTTCAGCCTCCATCCAAAACGCATAGCTTTTTTATTCTGTAATTATCCTAAAAACGAGTCAATGCGTCACCTAAGCAGAACTAACATCCTTTTGGTGCCCATACTTGCACAAACTTTTCCACCATAGACGACCACTTCAATATGTTATTTGAAGTTATTTTTTATTATGTTAGTCATTGAAAATAAAATACTCTATTGGGCAGGTGGCGAAAGGCAGAAATATAGACTAAAGTTGTGGACCGTTCAGAAAGTACTTTGTGGTGGTGGTATACCAGCGGAATCCATCATAATGAATATAAAGGTACGAAAATCTCCGGTTGCCTACTAGTGAATGTTGCACACACACCAAATAATTCTCCTCTCGCCTTATTCGTTGCCCTGAGGCACTGAGCTGAAGGCTTGAAGTTGTGGTTCATTATAACCCCTTAGGTCTTCCATTTGTGAGGCCCGCTGTAGCTGTATACCCTTTTAACAAGTACGTGTTGGGTCTGGTGGCCAACAGCCAACACTTGGTGGGATTCAGAGGAAGGTCCCACTGAACAGTCCATCGATGAGCTATCTCTAAATCCTTCTGTAAGTCGGTGCCCGTCATTTTGACGTCATCGGTGAAAATGAAGCAAAGATTTTTGAAATCCTGTGCAAGGTAGTTTAGGAACATTAGGGGTCCTAAAACAGAGCCTTGTGGGACTCCGCTCGAGACCACTCCAGTTTCCGACTCACGGTCTCCCACCCTCACCCTAAAGGTACGGTTGCTCAAAAACGACATTAGCCAATTTATTGTGTTGCCTACTATACCGAGGCCTTGTATTTTGACATCCAACAGCCGATGGCTGACGGAGTCGAAGGCCTTTGAGAAGTGTAAATAGAATGCTTCTACGTTCCTGCCCTCGTCCAACCGCCGCGTAACCTCATCCAGAAATACGAGCAGATTGGTGAGGCATGACCCACGCTCGATGAGACCATGCTGTGTCGGTGTCAGAAGTCGATTTTGTATTAGCTGCAGGTATATCTCCTTCCTAACCAATCGTTCTGGACACTTGCACAGCACCGACGTTGGCTGACAGGTCTGTAGTTTTCGGCTTTGGCGCTTGGACACAGATTTGTGCAGGTCCACTACTAACGCCGTGCGCCAATCATCTGGTAACGTAGCGTTTTGGAGCAATTCCCTAAAGAGACTAGTGATTAGTCCTGTTAGGATCTCGGCTAATGGCTGAACTATGGCTGGATGGATTCCGTCCGGACCTGCCAACTTATATTTATTCAACGCTTTGAGTTCTCGAGTTACGTCGGTTTCCGTTATACAGAGTTCCGCTAGAATCAGCCTGTCTCCTAGCAGCTGTGGTGTCGGAGTCAATGTCATGGATGTCGTCCTACAGACACTATTAAAAAAACCCAGCAGCGTTTTCGCGACGTATTCATTGCTCGCAGCTTTAACTCCGCCAGATGCGTCCAATGCGCCTATACTTTCGCGTGTACAAGCATTAGCCTGCACATGCGCGTAGAACCTTTTGGGGTTGGTTCTTGCTGCCTGTGCCAGTCTAAGCTCGAAGTTATATTGGCTTGTTCTTCAAATTTTCTGTGCCTTGTTCTGTTCCCGGTTGTACTCGCACTAAGTGTGCTGCGTTCTGTACAGCTTAAAGCGGGCCCAGCATCTCCTGCGGCTTACCAGCTCCCTGTCTACTCGCAGACTCCACCAAAGCAACCTGTTGTTACCACGTCTTGAAGTTATTGGGGCGGACTTATCCGTCAGCCTTAGTAATCCCGTTTTTATCGGAATCCATCTGTCTTGTTCAGTGGTTTCCGAAGATTCCAGGTACCAGGTGATGGTTGGTACCTCTCTTGCATTTCTGGCCCATTTACGAGTCCGTAGTATCTCCTTAAAGAGCACCCTTTATTAGAGTGCTTAAGACGGATTACTTTGTGATCGCTTTTATCGACTGATTCATTGGTATTTATGCAACCGATGTCTGTGGCCTACCTTGTGACTAGTAGATCTAGTATCGAGGGTCGATGTTGCCTTTTGGCTCCTGTCACATGTTGTGTGAGAGCTCTTTCCTGTAACCACTTCAGAAACCTATCACCTTGAGAAACTGCAGTCGCGCATTCATGTGACCAGGCTATCTCCGGAAGGTTGAAGTCACCTATTATGAAAAACCTCTGATAGCTCGCCAGGGTTTCTGGCACAATTCTCAAAAACTCTGTACCTTCCCAAGGAGTCGCAAGAGGGGCACGGTAGAAGCATATAATGCCTATCTGCCTTCTTCCCAGTTGGACAGCATTCTACTGCTTGGATGTTAGGGTTAGCTAAGACCAGCTGTACTTCACATTAGATGACGGAAGATTTAACTAGTATTAGTACAGCACCTACCCTTCTCCCATATACTCCATCCTGCCGGTATCTAGTGTAGCCCCCTAGGCCGGCAACAACTTGCAATTCCTGCAACCAGGATTCTATAATAACGACGATTTGGGATCCCTGAGAGCGTGTTGCAATCTCGCCCCGTTATCCCAGAAAACGACAAGTGTTAGTATACCAGACCGCAATGCTTGTAGCTATTTCGACTGGGGCCCTTTGATACTCTAATCTAATCTACCAATTCCAATGTGGTTGCGGAGCAACCTACGTGGGCCGAACAGAGCGACAGTTACGC